CGGGCGGGGGGCGGACACGGCGAGAAGGCAGCCCGCAGTGGCACGGTGCACGGAGGGAGGAAATTGAACAAAAAACAAATTTCGGACATCGTAATGACCTGCCCGACCGAGGAGGCAGGATGGGGGGTTAACAGCGCGAAGAAACTGAAAGGATGGCCAGTTCTCGCCGCAACTTCCCTTTGTGTGTGAGGCGTTTTGCTCATCCCGCCGCAGAGGCGGGCGGGGAGCCGAGATTCGCCCCCGGCCCCGGCGGGGGGAACCAGAAGGGCGCTGCCAAGACCTCCTCCGAGACTCGATCCTCCTCTGTCCTTCTCCTCCTCCGATCCTCGGTCCTCTTTCTCCATCCTCGTCCTCCTCCTCTTCCTCCTCCTCTTCCTGCTCCTCCTCAATCCTCCTTATCCTCCTCCTCCCTCTCCGATCTTGGATCGTCGGTCATCCTCCTCCCCCGTCCTCATCATCGAGACCATTTTTCCTAAGAAATAATACATGTTACCCTGGGGGGGTCGGTCGTTGGTCGTCGGTCGTCGGTCGTTGTCGTCGTCACCTTCGTCGTCGTCGCCGTCCAAGCCCACAGTGCGTGAGCCCACAACACGGGCCCTGTGCACCACAATGCCTTTGTTGAACAGAACTGCTGCAGAAATGGTATTTGTGTGTGCGCAACGGCGCCTTTGTACATCACATTGTTGTGCACACCGCGGGCGGCGCCTGTGTGCACCGCAGCTGCTGTTTCGGCACCCCCTGTGCACCAAACTGTCTGCATACACCACTCTGAAGGTACCGACGGAACCAATATTCCAGAACATCGTTGGGAGGCTTGAACGTATCAGCTCTAACTTGTGAGCTGAATGGGATTATGTGTTGTTCCCTGGCGAAGCGATCGAATACTTTTTACCCACAACGCCTGTGTACGCCGTAGAGACTGTGAACGTCGTGGCAACTGCGCGCACCACGGCGCCCGTGAACACCACGAGTCACCACGAGGCTTGGGGGCGGGCGGCGCCGCGTCAGCCGAGGGAATACACGCAGGAGAAGGAGGAGGAACAGCAGCACCAGCAGGAGGAGCAACAGGAACCCCACGATGGGGTCGACAGCTCGGGGCCCGCGCTGCTATTCCAAGAGCACTGCCAAGCTGCACGCCATCAGCGTGTGCATCTCTACGGCCCCGACAAAGCTCAAGTTCGGGAAATCGCTGGGGGTCCGAATGTACATGTGATCTGATTGTGATATTTATTTTCTGGCCCGAGGAACGCTCGGACATTTTGAACCCACAGCGAATGTGAAACACAACACCTGTGTGCACCACAAGGCCCATGTGCATCACAATGCTTGCGTACACCACAATGCCCGCGTCCTGTATGCGCAGAGAGGACGTCGACGAGGAGGAAAAGAATGAAGAGGGGGGATGAAGAAGTGACCTTGCGCACTACAGCTATTGCGTACATCACGACACCTGTGTACACCACAGGGCTTGTGATGTGTACACCAAAATGCTTGCGTACAGCCAGTCTGCTGTTGTACACCACAGTGTACGCCAAAATGTGCGCCACAATGTATGCTTGCGTGCACCCACTATGCTGCAACGACAGTTGTGTGCACCACAACGCCGGTGTACACAGCAATGCCTGCGTACACCGTAGTGCACGCCAGCATGCACCGCTGGCACGTAGCACGCGGCTTTTCGCATCACTGTGGAGCCCATGGCGCCCTCGGCCTCGTGAGAGGGGCTACCCAGAGGCCTCCAGGGAGATCCTGGGGAAACCCTGTGGACACCATTCCTTCGGGAGAAACTCCTGGGAGGTCTCCCCGGGAACGTCCAAGAAGCGCATCCTCATGAGATTGTGTTTTTTTTTCCCTCTGGGCCATGACGCGCGTCATGCCCCCCCCCCATCCCACGGCGTTCCCGGCACTGCCACAGTGCGTCTGGCACCACAATCTGTGGTTCCCACACGGCGGGGGGAGGGGTCGTTACGCTATGGCCCCCCCCCCCCCGCTGTCCCCTCCACCCAAATAACGCCCGTTATTGTCGCCGCGAATCGGCCACCGTGCCTTCAGCACGTATATGAGTGCCCAAAGGCTCCTGCAGCCCTGCGGAGGTGCCAGGGTTCAAAGTTTCTTTAAGGGCTCGGACCCCTGGTAGACGGGAAGTGCCTCTGGCGTGGACCGTTGGCTCTCTTGTAAAGTCTTCTTCTAACCAAGGGGCGCGGGGCGTATTCGGAAACTCGCTGGCGGATGACGGGAAGCGCGCATAGACTCGAAGAATCGCGCGATGGACGCTGGTGTAGACCCGGAAGGAAATATTTTCAGCTGGGGGGAGTCTGAGGGGGGAAAGGCTCGGGGTACCTCTTTTACCAAAGCCTGGCGGATGATGGGAAGCGCGCGTAGACGCGATGGACGTTGGTGTAGAACCGGATTCGCCGGCCCAACGGGCCAGGGCGTGCTAAGATCTCCGGTAACTGGTTAACAGTATTAACAGTATTTCTAGTTCGCGCGCGCGGGGCGGCCCTCTCAGGCTCCCCAGAGCGCGCTCAGAGTGCCCCAAGAGGCCCCCAAGACTGCCCAAGAGGCCCCCGAGACGCCCAAAGAGCGCTCGAAGACGCCGAAGATGACCCCAAGACGGCCCAAAAGGCCCCCAAGACAGCCCAAGAGGCCTCCAAGACGCCCCAAGAGCCTTCCAAGAGGCCTCCGAAGAGAGCCCCAAGAGGCCAAAATCGTTGATTGTCATTGCTTTTTTCTATGTTTTTTGTGTTCTGGCTTTTTCGGCTTCCGGACGCTCCAAGACGGCCCAAGAGGCTCCCAAGACCGCTCCAAGACGGCCCACGAGGCTCCCAAGAAGGCGCCCGGAACGGCCCAGGAGGGCCCCCAAGACGGCCCAAGTGCCGCCCAAGACGGACCAAGAGGCCCCAAGACGGGCCCAAGAGGGGCTCAAGAGGGGAACCGAGAACTGAAAAATCGAGCCCTCCGCCCCAGAAGGCGCCCAGGAGGCCCCAAAAAGGCCCCAAGAGGCCCCCAAGAGGCCCCCAAGACGCCCCAAGAGGCGCCCAAGAGGCCCAAAAGAGGCCCCAAGAGGCCCCAAAACGGCCCCCGAGAGGCCCCAAAACTCGGCTAGCCCACAACGGTGCGACAATATGGGCCGGCGGAATGAGCGAAGCGATTAAATATTTTCAGCTGGGGGGAGTCTGAGGGGGGAAAGGCTCGGGGTACCTCTTTTACCAAAGCCTGGCGGATGATGGGAAGCGCGCGTAGACGCGATGGACGTTGGTGTAGAACCGGATGGAAATATTTTCAACCGGGGGGAGTCTGAGGGGGGAAAGGCTCGGGGTACCTCTTTTATCAAGGCCTGGCGGATGACGGGAAACGCGCATAGACTCGAAGAGTCGCACGTTGGACGTTGGTGCGGGCCCGAAGGGAAATATTTTTCAACCGGGGGAAGGGCTCGGGGTACCTCATTTATCAAGGCCTGGCGGATGATGGGAAGCGCGCATAGACGCGATGGACGTTGGTGTAGACCCGGAGGGAAATATTTTCAACCGGGGGGGAGTCTGAGGGGGGAAAGGCTCGGGGTACCTCTTTTATCAAGGCCTGGCGGATGACGGGAATCGCGCATAGACTCGAAGAGTCGCACGATGGACGTTGGTGCGGGCCCAGAGGGACATATTTTCAACCGGGGGGGGATCTGAGGGGGGAAGGGCTCGGGGTTGCTCCTTCATCAAGGCCTGGCGGATGACGGGAACCGCGCATAGACTCGAAGAGTCGCGCGATGGACGTTGTTGCAGGCCCGGAAGGGAATATTTTCAACCAGGGGGAGTCTGCGGGAGGAAGGGACGTTCGGGGCGAGCGGCACGTTGGAATTTGCGCGGATCGTGAACTCCATCGGGTTCTTTTTTTGCGGGCGTTCGGGGTCAGCAGCACGTCTGAATTGGCGCGGGTAGCGAAGTCCACCTGGTACCCCGTGTGGACGCTCGGGGAGAGCGTCTACGCGACATGCGAACTTGATGTTGGTGCACGTTCTTGCCGACCTCTTTGATTTCACGCGCTTCCCGCTCATGTCAAGAAAGGTTTCGACAACGCGACAACGAGCGTTTCGCTCGAGACATCCTCACACAATCGAGAAGTCGAGGGTCGTATCTTAAAATGTGCGTTTCGCCCGAGACATCCTCAAATAATCTGGGTGTTTAAATCGCTGGCCTAATTTTCGGATCCTCGAAAATGGGCGTTTCGCCCGAAACATCCTCGAACACATTGGATGCCGACAAAGCTCTTGTAAGGCATCTGTTCGGAGCGATCTCGGATGACCTCCAAGATGGCCCTAGAAGCGAAAGTGTTGAAAACCAGCATGTTTTTAACACGTTCGTTTAGCAATCGGCGTTTTGTTTGAGACATCCTCCAAACAATGCCCTTTCGGACGGGTCCTCGAAGGCGAAATGATTGAAAAACCTATGGGGTTCAACAGCTCTGGTTTAGAAACAGCGCTTCGCTCGAGACATCCTCCAACAATTTTTGAACTCGCGCGGAAAGCAAACTCCACCTGGTATCTGTTGTGGGCGTTCGAGGTAAGAGCGACGTCTAAACTCGCGCGGGTAGTGAACTCCACCTGGTACCTTTTCTGGACGTTCGCGGTGAGCGGTGACTGAAAAGGTGTGGATTGTGAATTCCATTTGGGATCCTTTGTGGACGCTCGGGACGAGCTGCACGTTGGAATTTGCGCGGATCGTGAACTCCATCTGGCTCTTTCTGCGGATGTTCAAGGTCAGCGGCACGTCTGAACTGGCGCGGATAGCGAAGTCCACCTGGTACCCCCTGTGGACGTTCGGGGAGGGAGTCTACGCGACATGCGAAGTTGATGTTGGTGTACGCTCTTGCCAAGCTCTTTGATTGCACGCGCTTCCCGTTCATGTCAAGAACGGTTCTGGGTTTCGGGTTCAAGACGGCCCAAGAGAGCTGAAGGCGGCGGCGAAGGAGGAGGCCCATGA